TTGCACCTGTAGCTGCGATCGGTGTAGAGCGATAACCCATAAGGGCTAAGCAGGGGTCAGGCTGTTTAAGAATGTACTTGGCAGATTGAACAGCCCTTTCCGCAGCTCCATTCGGCTGTGGGTAATGTGGGCTGGAGGTAATGTGAGAAAAACCATACCTCTGCTTGAAAACCTGGAACTCCGCTGATGTGAACTGTGTTGCGTTGTCACTGACCAGTTCAAGCGGGATGCCCCATCTCACAAACATGTGTTTGAGTTTGTTGATGACCTGCTTGCTTGTAAGGGTGGTGAGGGAAGCAATTTCAATATCGCTTGAAAAATAATCCACAGCAACAAGATAGGACTTACCCTCTAACTCAAACAGGTCAACAGCAATCCTTTGCCATGGGCCACCAGGTAGGGGAGTGGTTACCAGTGGTTCACGTCTCTGTGTTGGTTTGTGTTCTCTGCAAAAATCACATGATTTCACTTTGTTTGTGATCTGTAACCCGATGTTTGGCCAACAAACAGTCAGCTTGGCTCGCTCACGACACTTTGTAAGGCCCTGGTGGCCCTCGTGCAGTTGGTCCAGGACACCAGCTCTAAGCACTGCCGGAACTACTATGCGGTCGTGGTATAGGACTAGACTGTCCGACTCTGATAAGTGACTTCTGGCTGCATAGTACCCGCGCAGTGTTGAGTCCCCCGCCATTTTGCGAGGCCACCGTTTTCTGATGAATTTGATTACTTTTTGAAGGTCATCATCGCTTTGTGTGACACTGCAAATTTCCTCGAGCTTGGGTGACTTTATTGGTTTGCTAGTTACTATAGCGTTTACATATGCCTTTACTTGTGTTACGTCCAGCTCAGCTAGGGAGTAAGAACGTAGCAAAAAACCAGATGGAATTGGTAGTTGTCCATTTTAAAGTAAGTTTTTAATGATGACAGAAAATAAAATGAATTGGGAAACGAAGGAGGAATACAGAAATAATAATAACAGTGATAATACAAAACGAAGGTCACTATACAAAACTAGAGCTCAAAATTACAAAGTGCCAACGTAAGGGAACAGAACCATACAGGAGGAGCAGTGACGGCAGACTGGCACGGACAAGTCCAGCTGCCCCGAGCTGACGGTGAGTGGGAGGTTTTATGGGGCCGCCCTCAGTGATGGATCCCCGGGGTTGGAGGACGTCCACGCTCTTGTCCCACTACAGCCACTCAGGCGTTAGACCGGCCACGCCCACACTTCAAGTCCCTCCAATAGATCTCCCGCACAGACACCTGTACAGAACACGAAGGCGCACACACAAACACAAAGGGCAACGGGAGCGCCATCTAGTGCACAACTGGCACCATAGGTCGTTGCCCGTAACACTCCCCCCCTTAAGAGCGAAACTACTCATTTTCAATAAACACAGTCAAGTAGCCAATTGGAACTACGGTAATAACCAGGGGGTACTATAGCGATGGACTGTCAAAACCTGGACAGGGCATCGGCCAACACATTTTCCACTCCTTTCTTGTGACGGATCTCGAGATGAAAGTCCTGCACCATCAGAGCCCACCTCATCAACCGCTGATTATGGTTAAACATGCGGGACAAAAAGACAAGAGGGTTATGGTCTGTAAAAACCAACACAGGCAAAGCACTCGACCCAACATACACCTCAAAATGCTGAAGAGCGAACAACAAAGACAACGTTTCCTTTTCAATGGTCGAATATGACAATTGGTGCTTATTAAACTTCGTTGAATAATAGCCAACTGGGTGGTCAACTCCAGCGGCATCTTCTTGAAGAAGAACAGCCCCGGCGCCTTCAGCACTGGCGTCTACCTCCAACTTGAATGGACGGGAACAATCCGGCGCTGCGAGGACAGGCGCATGGCTCAACAAAGCCTTTAGACTGGAGAACGCATGGTCACACTCCTGCGACCAAACAAAATCAACCTTGGGGCTGAGCAAACGAGTCAGTGGCAACGCAACGGTAGAAAAGTTCGGGCAAAAACTCCGATAATAACCGGCCATACCCAAGAACCGGCGGAGAGCGCGGCGCGAAGTGGGGGACTGACAAGCAAGGATGGCAGCGACTTTCGCTTCAACAGGCCTTACTTGACCCTCGCCCACTTCTCGGCCCAGGTAGGTAACGGTGGCCCTCCCGAACTCACATTTGGCCAAATTCACCGTGAGAGAGGCCTGTGCAAGGCGTGAAAACACGTTAGTCAAAATAGACTCATGCTCCTCCCAAGTAGCTGAATGCAGAATTAAATCATCTAGATAAGCATTGCAGTTAGACAAGCCACTCAACACCGTATTAACAAGCCTTTGAAACGAGGCTGGGGCGTTGCGCATCCCAAACGCCATGACTGTATACTGCAGAAAATAATCCGGTGTTACAAAAGCAGAGATCTCCGAGGCACGCTTCGTGAGCGGCACTTGCCAATATCCTTTTAGTAAATCCAGTTTGGTTACAAATTTTGCAGTTCCTAGATTGTCTACACAATCCTCCATGCGAGGCATTGGGTAGGAATCTGGTTCTGTGACAGCGTTCACCTTTCTAAAATCTGTAATAAATCTGGGAGTCCCATCAGGTTTCTCCTCCACTAAGCATGGCGAACTCCATGCACTGGAGCTATGAATGGCAAGGCCGTGCTCTAGCAGGTATTCTGCCTCCTGCTTCATAAGCGCACGCTTAGCGGGATTTACCCTATAGTGATGTTGCCGAATGGGTTTTGCTCCTTTCACATCAATGTCATGTGTTAACGCGGTAGTTCGAGATGGTACATCACTAAATAAACAGGAAAAATTATACACAATAGACAGTATGTCCTCTCTCTGAGTATTGCTCAAATGACCCAATTTCTCGGGCAGCTCGTTAACCATTTGAGAATTCGAGAGTCGCGCAACTTTAGCCTGCCGAGGAAAAACTGCATCTGTGACAGCCCGGTCAGTCTCTACTATCACCAGCGCTGCGGCACAAGTGGACGGGGACGCCACCGGTGCGTCAACACTGCGTTCATAATATTTCTTTAGCATGTTAACGTGACACACCCGGGACTTACGACGGCGATCAGGAGTACGGATGACAAAATTTGTGTCATTTATTTTCTCTTTTACCTCATACGGTCCAACAAACTTTGCAGACAACGCATTTCCCCTGAGAGGGAGCAAGACAAGCACCTTCTCTCCCACCGAAAAATCACGTTTAACAGCCTTTTTATCAAAATGGACCTTCACATAAACAACACTCTTCTCAGCTGCAAGAGATAATCCCTGGACAAAACTAGGCCACTTTAAGAAAACTGCTGAAGAAATCTTTACTCAAAAATATTGAATTTTTAAAGCATTGTATTTGATTTTTTATTAAAACAAAGTACATTGAACCATTTTCCCCCTCATTGACGGTCACATTGTCACCCCCTCATCCTCTGTACCCAACCTGCATACATAAGGACTCAACATCCAAACCACATCCAAACCCACATCAAACATTCACCTAAACCACCCTTTTCCCCCTTCGCAACATTTGCCCGCCTCCGCCCCTCCCTTACCCAGTCAAAGGCGAAATCCTCATCCATGCATTCATCACCACTCCAGACTCGACTACTGCAACAGCATCCTCTACGGACTTCCACACTCATCTCCAAAAACTGCAATACATCCCGAACTCTGCAGGCCCGCCTCCTCCCCCACACACGGTCCCAGGAGAACACTCACCCTGTCCTCCGCAGCTCCACTGGCTCCCGTTCAAACCGCATTCATTCCTCCTCCTCACCTAAAGTCCCTCCATAACTGGCCCGCCCTACCTACTGAGCTCCTATCAATTCAACCTCCTCACCCCCATCACCCGCACTAACGCCAAACCTTGGGGGACAGAGCTTTTGCCATTGCGCCCCAACCCTCTGGGAACTCGCTCCAACTGCCCATTAGAACATCTGACTCACTATCAAACTTTAAGGACCTTATGCCGGTTTGATTTATTAGAAATACAGTTTATACCATTTTATTTAGAAGCGAATACTAAAGGTTTCCAATTAGTTTTTGTTTTTGTTGTCTGATCCCCCAATTCGAAATACACCATAGCAACGCCCATAGAGACGGAAACACTTCACAGCCCCAGGTGTCGTCAGGGCGTGGGTACGTTTCAACGCTGTAAGTGGTTTACACTTTGGTATTCAGTTTTTTTTGCGGATTTTCATAGATGACAAGGCCGTGTACAGCGAGTCTGAGATTACTACTAGATTGGAACACTTTGTTTGGCACTGAGCATAGTCAGTGGTTGTGTCGATGGCTTCCAATATAGACACTGGGGTTCAATCCACCTTAGACACTTTTTCACCTCTCAAAACGGCAATTTATGTGTAGTGAGCAATTGTCACCTGTAGATGTGCAGTATTGTGTGGGCATCAGTGAGAAGAGGGAACAAAGGGAGAGGAAACGCAGTCCATGGGATAGATCCCTGGTTTTCAATGCATGGGCGTAACCCGCCTATGCGTCACAACAGGTTAGAGCTATAGACAACTTAAATTCATGAAAAACACGTTCTTTTTATAAAATATAGGATGTTTTTTTTTTGCCGAATTTCTTTCAGATTGACATTGTCCTGCAATTTTGATTTCCACCCAATTTTTTTTTTTTAAACCCGGCATAAGGTCTTGAATTAGTACTCAAAACAGTCTTTTCAAACAAGCTTTTCTGTATACCCTTTTTATTATTGATTCTACTCCCCATGTGAAGCGTCTTTGGTGTCCAAAAAAGCGCTATACATGTTTGATGTATTTATTATTATTATTATTATTATTAATTTCTTCACCACGTGTGTGTGTGTGTGTGTGAAATATTGCGTCAAAACTCCGTTTGTACTGGCTTCTTTTATTTATCATTTAGTGTACCTGTGGAAGGACCCAGGAAGAATAGTCTGTTGTTTTCTAGGGCCCCCGCCCTGAGACCTGGTCCACCCCCTGGCTCACACCCTGGTCTGATCCTGTCCCGGCTCGGGCTCTGGACCCACAGATGGAATATGAGCTGCTGTTCTCGTGATTCCGATCGCTGTGCGCTCGTCCGCACTGCGCTGGAGCCCGCCCTCTTCTGGACCGTGGCGGCGTTGGACTGGATGGGAAACCTGCTCGTTCTATGGGTTTACCTGTGCAGGGGGCGTGGCCTGTGCCACGGGGGGGGCCTTCTCACTCACTCATTTTTTATACCTGTTACACCTGTGTGCGGAGGACCTGCTCTTCCTGTCCACGCATACCTCTGTGGGCTCAAAGCGGTACTGCAGGCTGGATCTACGGGGAGGGCGTGTGCAAGGCAACGACCGCCGTTCTCAGGTCAGGACTGAACTGAAAACATATACTCTCAAGAGCGAATTTCAGGATATTGTCACCACTAATCAAACTCAAATCCTATTACACAGCTACAGACTCCCAGACCTACGACTGCTGTAGATGCTGCTTTCCACATCTGAATAAATACTAGTTGCTTTTCTAAACCAGGTGTGCACGTACCTTTTTCACCGTGAGGTTCATCAGATGAGAACCAGGAGCTGGGTTGGTACTCCACTCCATTTGTTGCGTGGTCTCAATCTAGATTTTATACTTGCTTTTAGGGGCTGGGCGATAAAACGATATCGTTATATATCGCGATAGACATGTGTTTCAATTTCAATAGAGAATGGGGTCGATAGAATGTTCGATAGTTAAACGGTCGGAACTAGATCATATACGGAATCGGGCGAAACCGGAAAGTAACAATCCTACTTTCGAATTCGTTTTTAGACCGTTTAGTCTGTTAAGTCCCTTAAGTGCTGACTGGTTAAGTTTTAGGACGTTCTGATTAAGATGGTTAAGGTTAGGGTTAGGCTGTGGTTGGGGTGATTTTATGGGATATGGTGGTTAAGTTTAGTGCATGAATAGGGTAGTTTGTTGTATTTACTTATGCTTCCGTCCCTATTCCCGTATTTGATCTAGTGCCTGACTAGTTTAAACTAACCTCCGTCTGGGAAAACGGAAGAAAACACCGGAAGTAAGCCGACTCATAGGCATGGGCATTGTGGGGGATGTAGGCAGAGGCTTCTCGACAATAACAGCCAAGCAGGAACCGCAAAACTTATCTGGGAAATGCAAAAAACACAACAACCGCACCATGCGTGGCATCCTTGGATCTATAGCTCGGTTTCAATGCAGTGCTCATTGGTTATGCACGTACGTGCACGGATTATAATGTGCGGCGGGCAGAGGCAGTGGACAGACCCGATTGTATTCGGCAGAATAGCAAGAGATTAACTTTTCCTCGGGAAGCCTGTGCCGGCACAGAGAGGCGCACAGAGGAGCCTGGTCACGGGACACCAGACCCTAAACAGCTAAACCAGGAGCTTAAACCAGGACTAACAACGAGGACACAGTGTGAACATTTTCATCCAGCCTCATCGCCTCCTTGACTGTAAACAAGGCTGCCTAAGATTGGTTAGCCCACACGACAAATATATTTATTTAGGCTAAAAAAAAAAAAAACTCAATATATATCGTTTATCGACCGATATGAATGACTTATATCGTGATATAGTGTTCTCGCCATATCGCCCAGCCCTACTTGCTTTTTTTATGCTAAAGTTTTAACAACTCAGAAAATCCACTCAAACAAGGTCCAATAATGACTGGGCTCTTTAAAAAAATAGCAAAACTAACTAACTGGGGCGACAGTAGCTCAGTTGGTAGAGCTTGGACCTTGGGCCTGAAGGTCGTGGGTTCGAGCCCACGTAAGACCTACTTCACGACTCCCACTGATGACTATTTGTCGTTGAGTCCTTGGGCAAGACAATTAACACTACTTTGCCCAAAGCCCCCAACTGAAAGATCTCAAGCTTCTGTGGACTCACACCTGCAGGAGGATCAGTGAGGGGCCTGGTGCTATGTTATGGGTGCAGCTCTGACTGCACCCCCCCGACCCAGAAAGGATTAAGGGGAATAACTCAGGCGTCCTCTAAAAACAGAGAGTCCTCAGCAGGTCACAGAACACGGGGAGGAGGAGGGTTGTGTTGGTCGGGGTTGAAACTGACATTAGTCACTGAGTGTATTTGAATGTCTGGGGTTTATTTATGGACTTCCAGATACATAATCATGATTAATATTTAAGTCAGTGGATTTCACATGCCACCTGTATGTGAAATCCAGATCCCCTCAGACTTCTGAAGCTAAGTAGTCTGGTTGGTACTGTGACGGGAGACCACGTTGAAGCACTGCAAAGATGTATTATACTACACAGATAGGGTTTTGGTTGCTTAATGCACCCTGGTATGTGCTTCTGCCGACTAAATATATAAATAGATATATATCTGAATCCTCCTCCAGACAGACCACATGCTCCAAGACTGAGACAGAGACCACAAAATCAAGAGTTCTGAGGAGCACAGAGCGTCTTCTCTCGGGGATGTGGTCAGAGCAGACGCTGCTGAACAACACGGCTGGGTATTTTAAAACAGCCCTTACGAACCGGAAGGCCAGGTTTATTCTTAAGTGACCTCTAAAAAGACTTACCGTGAGAAATAACCATGGGCGTGTGTGTTGTCCTGTCAAATGTGACACAGATAAGAAAATCATTATCATAGTAAAATTGTGTGGTTCTGCAGGCCCATTCATCCCAGAATCTTATTGATATGTGACTGAGGACAAGTGGAATGGAGTCTTTAGTCAAATGTGTGTTTTTGTTGTTGGTAAGTTTAAAACATTACATACAGAATTCACTGAAACCCTTACTACAGTGTATTTTAATCCAGGGAAGTTTCATTTTCATTTTAGGCAATAGTTCTTACACAAGATCACAAGTTTATGACACCTACGTTATCAGGAAGTCCAGCTCTGTCCTTTTCCCTGTACACAGTGCAGCAGGAGGACAGGAGGCTCCCAGACAAACTAACATCTATGTGGACCATGACTGTCGCCCCCTGCAGGACACTGTCTGCTCTGGAGAGTAGCTTCAGCGACAGACTGATCCTCCCATTGTGTGAAGGAGAGATCACGACAGATGTTACCCGCTGTGCTACGGGTTTAGTTTGAATGTGTAAAGTCCTACATGTTCATGGTCATATCTAGGGGTGCAACGGTTTAAAAAAAATCACGGTTCGGATCGTACCTCGGTTCATTTTTCTGTTCATTTTTCAAAAAAAAAAGTTTTGTCTTTTTAATAAACACAGCTCATGTGGACTCAGCACCTGCTCTGACTGCCCCCTGTACATGTTTATTTGGACTGTGTATTGTGAGAGAAAGACACTTAAGCCTAGCGTACATCGACAGAGAAACTGGGGACAACTAGTTGCAAGGCGGCTTTTGGCAACTGAGAGGAGATGGTGGGAGATGATCAGTTGCCGAAATCGGTCGATGTGCGCGCTCTTACAACTGGAGATGATCAGTCGGTCTCCAGTTTCAGTCACTTGCCCGTGTTCTACTTTTCGGCAACTAGTTGTCCTCAGTTTCGGAGATATGACCCGATGTGCGCGCTCCATGCGCCTCTCCGACAACGTGTGTGTATTGCGTGTATTGCGCGCCCGCAACAGTTTATGTCAGAAAACACACTGTAGTTGAGGCCAGTTGCTGTCGATGTACGCGCTGTTATTCCCGAGACTGGTCTGCTACTGGGAGTTGCCCGTTTTCGTCAGATTGTCGATGTGTGCGGGGCAGCAACTCGTATGCGACGGATATAATCAGTTGCCAGTCCGATGTACGCTAAGCTTAACATCGGCTGTTTTGGGAGTCGAGTGATTATCTCACTCCTCTTGATTGTTGAAGAAACTCAGCGACAGTTTTGTCAATTCACCTTGGAGAGACCCATGAGGAAAAGGCCGTTAGACTTATTAGATTTAAGCATGTTTATTGATTGAGCATGTTTGGCGCCCTAGGCCCGGGAGGGATGCTGTTGAGCACGGCGCTTGCTCGCGTGCATAATCCCCCCCGGGGCCTAGGCACTGGTGACGGCAGAGGCAGTAGGCAAGCACGCGTTGGTGAGAAAAGGAGGAGGTGGGGCGGCGGAGGCTTGCAGACTTCAGAAGGCCGGGAAGTGGGAGTCTCCGGCTTTTAACTTGCTGTCCTGGTGGTTATTGGTTGGCTGGATGTGGGCGTTGCTGGTTTGATGAGCCGAGGAAGAGCAGCCTGTAGATCTGGGCAAGCAGCAGCCGGGTCTACCACAGTGAACTTTCGCAAAAGCTCCATTTCACCTTGGAGAGACCCATGAGGAAAATGCCGTTAGACTTATTAGATTTAAGCATGTTTATTGATTGAGCATGTTTGGCGCCCTAGGCCCGGGAGGGATGCTGTTGAGCACGGCGCTTGCTCGCGTGCATAATCCCCAAAAAGCGGGCCTGCAATTGGGATAGCAGGACGTACTGCGCGGGCCTGAGAGCATGAGTGAGAGGCTTCTCGCACGGTCGCTCAGCCAGGCTGCGTCCGCTGGGGCCCGTGTTTGTTTAGGCAGGGCGAGCTGAGAATATGAGCGTGCTCATATTCAGCTAGACGCTGAAGCAGGGGAATCTTTGAGCGAACTGAGAATATGAGATGCATGCGCATGTTCAGCCAGACGCTGAAGCAGAGGAATCTTTGAGCGAGCTGAGAACATGCGCGTGCAGCCAGACGCTACAGCAGGGGAATCTTTGAGCGAGCTGAGAATATGAGATGCACGCGCATGTTCAGCCAGACGCTGAAGCAGAGGAATCTTTGAGCGAGCTGAGAACATGCGCGCATGAAATGGTCAGGGGACATTATGTTGGGTGAGAAGAGCGACCTTTGTTTAATGCTTCCACTACGTCGAGATTATCACGCATGACAGAGATCCTCTTTCTCTGCCACGTGTGATTCCACACGCGCAGGCCACGACCACTGGGAATGTCTCGTGTAGGGCAGAGGAAATGCTCCGGGGAAAAGTAGCGGGCCACGGCCCGGCGAACCACTGGTCCTGGAAGAACCCCCCAAAACCCACGGAAGGGGCAGCGTCCGTGTAGAAGCGGAGACCTGTAGGGGCAGAGAGACATACCGGAGAGGGCCATTGATGTTGCAGGCGCCCTTACGCTTAGAATCTTGGGTTGGAGATTAGATAATCAGGACAGTAGGACAGGTCGGGAAAAGCCGTGTCTCGGACCGCATTGAAGGTTGAGTGAGCAGTAGTGAAACGCTCATGGAGAGAAGCCACAGAAGGCGAGCAGGAAGATGCTGCGAGGAGGGCAGACATGTACTTGGAAGATGAGCCGGAATTCAGTGCCGCTCAGAGCTGCTGCAGGATGGGCAGCATGATGGGGAGCCTGCAATCAGAAGAGTGAAGAATACAGGTATGGATGCCTTTGATTAGGAGTTTGAT